TAATAATCCTCTATAGGCCATCTTACTTCTGTTCATAGGGGCTGATATAACTATGACAGATGCTCCTGACATTCTCTCCTCAGAGACTCGGTGCACTAACTTTGTAAGGCATTTAAACTGACTTACTGTCCTTTAAAGCTATTTTGGGGATGGCTCATGCGTAATTAGCATTTAATAAATACGATAGTAAATTGATATAGCAATAGAGAGAAAGGACATGAAAGAGAAATAGTTGAAGAGAAATATTTGTGCACCCAGGGGATTATGAGAGTCACATAGCAACACAGACATCTGTAATACCATTAAAAGGACACAGTGAAGGAGGAAGTCAAGAGCAGTGAGTGAGAGATGGGTATAACAAGGTAAGCACAAAACAAGGGGACAGAAAGATTATAGTAAGGTATTAAGAAAATATTAAAAAGAAATAATCAGTTAATTAAATGAAAATTGAACAAAAACAGGAGACTGAGAGTCAGAAAGATTATAGTAAGATATTAAGAAAATATTAAAAAGAAAGAATCAATTAATTAAATGAAAATTGAACAAAAACAGGAGACTGAGAGAACATTGCCAATTGCCCGAAGAGTAAATAACTGATCAACAGGCCATCCAAGAAATTAGTATGATGCATTATTTGGGGCCTATTCTCCTCCAGATACATGGAAAACCAATATTGAAAAATTGGCCTGCTTTAAGACACCGTTTATTTGGAAGAAATTTCCTATACTACAGTAGCTCCTGAAATTGTTGAGAGCTGGGAGGGACCCCAGTTGACCCACTTCCAGAGGCAGGTGGCAGCAGACTGGGTTGGATTAATCTCTTGGTAGGCCCTAGATGCTCTCATAATTGTAGTCCCTTAAATTAGAGGGCTGGATTAATCTCTTGGTAGGCCCTAGACGCTCTCATAATTGTAGTCCCTTAAATTTGATAGAACTATATAGGGCATTTCTCCCATATCACCTATATCACCCACTTTAATTTTTGCTCTTGAAAGTAGCACATTGTGTGATAAATTCGTAATTCATTCTAAAATAATAGCCATTTTGTTGTATACTACAATTATACTTAGGATTCACCTGATTGTTAATTGGCTTATAAAGGAGAAAATTGCTACCACTATGACTGTAAAATCCACAGAGCAATGCTTTGCACCACAGAGCCAATAACTTGGTAACAATGTGCCTCAAAATCATTCAATGGCTGAGGCTGGCCAGATAGAAACAGTGTTTAGTGGTAACCTTGAGTTTTTTAAACATAACTGTGAAATGCAAACACTGTAGGAAAAAAGCAGTTTTCCCTCTAACATTTTCCATCCTTGAATTTTCTTATGTGCATCACCAGTACAAACAAAAAACTTATATCTAAGTATATATTTTAAACAGTTCATGGGTATGGAAGACAAAAAATTTAAAACAAGGGATGATTAAAAAGGAGCAATGCTTACAATGTTTATTTAATATCAAATAAAGAGAAAATTAACACCGAGACTACGGCTAAACTTCACCCCTCTTTTGGAAGAGGGATGTAAATTAGATGTTTTTAAAGTGCAAATGAAGCAGAGATTTAAATATTCTGTGCTTCATTTGCATAACAGCATCACGGCGCTCTTTCGAACAAGCACCATTTTGAAACTGAAACCACGGTTTAGACATTTTTTTTGACAATGGGGTGCTTTTTCTAAACATCCTGTACTCCTCTTTCAAGAAAGCATCCCATTGCCAAAAAAACCCACATCTAAACCGTGGTTTCAGTTTCAAAATCACACTTGTTCGAAACAGCGCCATGACGCGATTGTTTCAAAATCGCACTTGTTCGAAACAGCGCCATGACGCGATTATGCAAATGAAGCACGGGATATTTAAATCCCTGCTTCATTTGTACTTTCAAAATGTCTAATTTACATCCCTCTGCCGACAGAGGGGTGGAGTTTAGATGTAGCCTGAGAACATAAGAACGGCCATACTGGGTCAGACCAAAGGTCAGTCTAGCCCAGTATCTTGTCTACTGACAGTGGGCAATACAAAATAGAGAGAGGGAATACAACAGGAATCATCATGTGATCCCTCTCCTGTTATACATTTCCATATAAACGGAGTCTAGGGACACCATTCCTACCTATACTGGCTAATAGCTATTGATGGACCTCCATGAATCAATCTAGCTCTTTTTTTAACCCTGTTAAAGTCCTAGTCTTCACAACATCCTCTGGCAGAGTTCCACAGGTTGACTGTGCACCGAGTGAAGAAAAGCGTCCTTTTGTTTGTTTTAAACCTGCTGCCTGTAAATATCATTTGGTGACCCCTATAACCTTTCCTTAAAAAGCGACAAGGAGTCCTGTGGCACTTTATAGACTAACAGATTTATTGGCTGCATGTCACATGAATCTGACAAAGTGGGTCTTTTCCCATGAAAGCTTATGCGCCAATAAATCTGTTAGTCTATACGGTGCCACAGGACTCTTCATCACTTTTACAGATTCAGACTAACACGGCTACCCCTCTGATACTTGACTACCTTTCCTTAGTCACTTGTTCCACACCAGTCAAGATTTTATACACTTCTATCTTATTCCCCCTTAATCTCATCTTTTCTAAGATAAAAAGTCCAAGTCTTTTTAATCTCTCTTCATATGGAACCTGTTCCAAACCTCTAATAATTTTTGTTGTCCTTCTCTGAACCTTTTCCAATGCCAAAATATCTTTTTTGAGATGAGGTGATGACATCTGTAGTTTTATATAGTGGCAATGAGATATTCTCTGTCTTATTTTCTATCCCTTTTTAAACGATTCCTAATATTCTATTTGCTTTTTTGACTGTTGCTGCACAGTGAGTGGATGCTTTCAGAGAACTATCCACAATGACTCCAAGATCTCTCTCTTAGAATCATAGAATAATAGGACTGGAAGGGATCTCGAGAGGTCGAGTCCAGCCCCCCGTCTTGAATAACTGTAGCTACATTGGTCCCCATCATATTGTATTTGATGGGGACTACATGTATTTTATCATCCTTTCTAACAACTCAAACTAGTAAACACACCAAAATGTGTATTATCCTCACATAGCTCAGCTTTAAGATGCTAAAGCAATCTATGAGTCAACTGGAAACTTTCATGCTCTCCTTGCAAATATTAATACAATATTTACTTACACTGCAAAGGACAGACAAAGGTATGCATTCAGGCTTATATTATTTCTCTGGGATATCGGCTCTAAATTTGATTAATAGTGCACAGACATAGAACAGTACAAATAAGTAATGAAGCAACACAGAAAACAAAGTCACAAATGTGAAAATAGGAAGGGAAGTAAAACATCAGGTGGTTGGTGATAGGTATTTTAAATGAATGTTTGGGATCACTATGCAAGTGAAACAGAGACCTGTAACCACAGATAAGAGTTATTCATGTTTGCAATTATTGTGTGTTTCATCAACTCAAAGAGCAAAAGCTCCAGAGCAGCACTTTAACACATGGCTTCAGAGTGTGTAGACAGATCCATTTTTTAAAGAGCTTATAAATAGACTTCATTGTACAACACACCTAGAATCACACGTAGTATGCCCATTGACTCATGAAAGCCAGAACTATACCATGTAGAAAAAATGTCATAAGCTAGGTTTATCCACATAATCCTTATCTACAAAAGCAACCTAACTGCTTTACAATAGAAAAACACCATATAAGTGAAGTCAGATCCTGTATTAAGATCTGTTAAAGTAGAATCTCTCCACCCTCTTTATTTGTCTGCTCTGGATCTGTCTTTCTCCAAACAAACTAATTTTTAGCTCAGGCTAACATCTCCAAGCAGATTGCCTCCTTTTAACACACTCAACTTGGCCAAACACAAGCTCTTTATCTTTCTCTCCTGATACTAGGAAAAATATTTTGGTCTAGAACTTCTGAGAAATCACTGTTTTGTGTTTGCACTACAAGTCTAACAGTGGGTGCTACAATATTCTTTCCCCAATCATATTTTCCTGGTATCTTTAAGATCTCGTAATTATGTCACCAATCAGTTAATACCAACCCCTGATAGCAGATGGTTACAGTGTAGGGCCATTGATGATGGGTCAGACTATAGGTGGAGTGAACAGTGGCAAGATGAAGGACAGCAGCAGAATGGATGATGGTACAGCAGAGGCAGTGACACAGAGTGATCAGTAGCAACTGTGAGCCATTATTCATTGCTCCTCTGGGTGGGAGGTGAGTTCATGTGAAGCACCAATAGGTCTTTGCTCAATTTTTCTCCTATTATTTTGTCTCTCTGAACCCAATCTTCCCCATATATCTGCTAGCTCAATCAGTAGAACATCAGACTCAATCTGAGGGCCCAGGGTTCAAGTCTCTGGTTAGTCAAAGGGGCCTTGTGTTCCTCTCTGCAGCTTCCCTTTGGGGCTCTTCCACAAGAGTCCTCTCCTGCATCCCCTTGATATCAAGAAAGAAAGGTGAGGTGACTTGATATGTTATAGAGATGTCAAAAACATTCTTAGACAGGATACCACTGGATGGACGGTGAAAAAGAGGACAACAAATGACATAAAACAAACACATTATGATGGAGTAAGAGAAAGCACTAGATACGGAGACCGAATAGAGGAGGAGAGGTAATGGAAGAAGTGACATTGAGAAGTAAGTCGAGAGCAAAAAAAAAAAAAAAAAAAAGATGCAACAGTAAAACAATTTGGGTGGAAATTATACCTCCCCTTGTATTGCATTGCCAACAGGATCCAACAATTTAGAGGGTGAATCCTGACCTCACTGATGTCAGTGAGAGTTTCTCTCTTGACTTTAGTGGAGCCACAGGATTCATGATAAGGGCATCTCTGTGCTACAATAAAAGATCTGCAGCAGTGCAGAAATTTGGATTGGAACCTGGGCTTTGAGACCCAGAATGAGGGTTGTTTTCAGAGGCTAGGTTCCATCCCATTCCTGAATGTCTTCATTACTATTTTTCACCTGAAGGCCACACCCTCTGAGCCCCAATCAGATGACAGTTTCAGACTGAAGGCCACAAGTGTTTTTATTGCAATGTAAACATACCCAAAGTGTCTCTGTCCCTCACTATAGCTCTGGACATTTGAGAGGTAGGATTAATGCTCTATATAGAATAAACTTTCAAATATAGAAATAGATTTTAATAACTATACGTTGTTTTTAAAAGACACAAGAACTGTATTTATAATTAAGTTCCGTGGTTACCAGTGCTAACTTAATTGAAGGGATAGAGATTTAAACAAATGGTCTTACATTCCTCCACTTTTGAATTTTTCCTCTCTGTAAGTTTATTTGTAAAATTAGTTAAAGGACTACAAGAATAACACAGTAAGCTACCTTCTGATTTTCAAAAGACAGGCATGACCCCAGTAGTGACATCCAGAATAGATTAAAATTGACACCTCTTAAAGGATGGGAAGCAGTTTGTAGAAATGTATACACTCAATCAGTTCTGAACTTACCCTGAACAGATTGTCAGCCATAACAAATCATATCTAATGAAGGATTATAACAAACTACAGTACTCTGTGGAGTAAACTAAATCTACTAATTTCATGTATTAATGTTCTGAGACTTACAATAGTTTTATATGACTTGCATATAATTATCTGTTTACTTAAAATTAGAAGGGGAATATTTTCTTTATTATGCAAACTGAAAGAATCAGTCACCATCAGCTTTATATTCCAAATTCACACAGTAGAGTGAATTCCCTCAGCATCTAAAAATAATTTTTCACATTTTCACAATTCCCTGCAGGGAACAAGTATAATAGGCCATACATTTCTTTCAAAAGAACGCTCCACCACAATTTTCAATGAGGACAATAGTAGGAGTTTCAGTTACAGAAAGGAAGTTGTTTCCTACATAAATTTATAAGCCTTTACAATAAGTCAAAAACCACAACAAATGGTTCTAATCATGTTTACTATTTTATTTGTAAGGAGTGACTTAATACAACTGCAAAGAGCTTCTATTAGTTGTAATGAGTACATTGTAATTGTTTTAGACTTTAGGGAATATGGTAGAAGAGTTATCAAAACGTACTATTTTCTGACAGCTCTGTACTTGAACTCCAGTGAAAAGTGTGAAAACAACCGATTCATAAATAAACAGACTTTTCTTACCTGTCTATGATACCACACAAGTCTATTTGAAGATTACTAAAGTTATCAAGGGAATTTTGCTGTACTGAAATCAGATCTACTGCTTTGCTACCAATGGTAATAAGCCTCATACATCCTTGAAAACCAGCAAATGGATTTTTACATTCAGAGCTGTTGCCATTATTAGGACACCCTGAAACAGACAGAATAAACAAAACAATTAATATTGGGAAGAGATTTATCTTATAAAAGCACTTTTTATATTTCAGTCCCTACTTTTTATATTTCCTGCCTTTGTAAGTTTTGTGAGGAAGGCTTAGCCAAGAGTTCTTCTGAATAATAACACTGATCCTCTTGTTCATGTTGTGTAATACTCTAATTTTCTTTATGTTCCTGGGTACTCATGTGATATTTATAAAGAATAGTATCAAACAATTGGAATAAAAAATAACCCAAACATAAAAATCCAAATTTAAATGGGCTTTATCTTTATGGAAATAAATTGTTCACAATCATCAGGGTTATCAGTCCAAGAAACGTTAGTTCAAAATGCTCAGAGAATGTGATTTGGAAAATTAACTTGTTTTACACAACCCAAGTTGTGTTACACAACCCAAGTTGAAATGAAAATGAGTACTGAATGTATTTGCTTATTTTTGTAATTATTATTATTTTGCTTTCATAATTTAAAAAAACTACCATATGCATATATTGTCTTTCAAGGCATAACTACAATGCGAGTAAAATGCATAAATGAAGTCCACTGGAACAAACCAGATCAAAAGGAATATTGTGAAAATGTTGCTGCTGGGGAAGAAAAGATATAATGAATAGAGCCTAGTAAATGAACACTTTATGTAAAGCAGTGAGCTATTTGCTCCAGTGTTGAGACTCCGGGGGGGAGTTGGGAGGGGTCGAGAGGAGGAATTCCATGTAGTACTCATTCACTTCGTTTGATATAGAAAAAACAGTAATACACTAATGAGCAGCTACATGACATGCCTCCAATTTATAAATTGGTTAACTTTCTTCCAGAGGTCAATCTTACTACAAGAATGATGCACAAGGATCCTACTTTAATCTCAAACAATATTAACTCTTAGGTGCGATCAAAGAGTTTCTTGTCTCCTAATGTCTCCATGAAATGACACTTACATATTCCATTGAGCTAATAGATATTGTCTAAATCCTGCATAAAGATGGTGAGATTTATTCTATGGGAAAACAATAACTAAGGGATACATTGAAGAGGGTGAAAAACAGTAAGTTTGGAGAGATTTTCAAAAAGTATAATACAGAACATGAAGGAAAACAAAGGCTTCTACCCTGGCAATGCTGACTGCTTTGTACAAGAGTTTTAAGTGCTCAGGACTTCATCAATACTGGGACTTAAGAACAACAATATTTTAATAATATACTACTTAGTGATACTAAAGGGTTCATACCTGGAAAGAATAACTAATTCTGTCCTCATTTACACCCTTTCAAATCAAAGGATTTTCAAGAATTCAAGGATAGTGAAATTAAGCCACAAAAACCTTAAAGATCTGTTGCATTATAATAAATGAAATAGTATAGAATATTAATATTAAATATGATAAAATATGCTACAAGACCCTTACATATCTGTTTTATTATAATAGTTTTTTAAACATAACGCAAGACAATTACTAATTGAATATTTCCAATTAAGTTAATTGTACATTTTAAAATAAGTAGCTGATAGATATTAAGTAAAATTTAATTAATGTTGCAATTACTTTTTCCCCTTATAGCATTCTGAATTTCTACTATCTTGCCCAGAATAAATTAACCCAATCTCATATTCTTTCAAAACCTTTTGTCTTTTTGAAATATATTGTCTTCTCATCGTTCTATTAGTAAAAAATGAACATTTTACATTAACATTAATGAAAGTGGTCTTTCAGGCTTGTGGTCAGCATTTTAAATCATGATATATCAAAGTGAAGGAAATAATTCCATAAACAGTGCACCCTAATACTTCATATTCCCAACAAAAATGCATATTTTCTGCTGGAATACCTCTTTTCATATTTAAATGGGTATACAGAGATACCCTGAATATTTCAGCAAATTCAGATCTGACGTGACAAAAAGAAAGGGTGTTCCAAATAGCTGCTTTTCATCAGCCAATTCTCAATTCTGGATGACATTGTATAAGCTTCTGACTTGACCATAAAATTGTATTCAGAGAAACTCAGAGGTGGATAGTCAGAGTTTTCAGTGATTTGGGCTTAATTTGACCTCCAAAAGAGAATATAGAAATGTCCTGTTGTACAGCTTAGTTATGCCATTTTCTTATAACTGTCCATGCCCCTCCTGATGTGTACATCTTTTCCATCAGCTCTGTAGTGTTCATGGATGCAGATCACATCATCAGAGATGCGGGAGTCAAGAGTAGTGTAGAAAACACAGAAAAAATGAAACAAAGATTTTCCTTTTTTAAACAAAAAATTAACATTATTAGTTTCACTCTCTATTTATTTATTTACATGGTGCATCTCAGACCTTAGTATCGGACAAGTCTCAGGGGGTAGCCATGTTAAGCTGTATCTGTAAAAATAATGAAGAGTCCTGTGGCATTTTAAAGACTAACATATGTGCATTATCGTTCACATGTACAAGAACTGGAATATTTGGCATTTTCTTGATGCTTGTGTGATCTGTGCTACTATTTGATCTGTTTATCTTTAAGGTGTTTCTTGGTATCCAAGGAAGCCTGTATATTAAACCAAGTCACTTTTGGAAAATGGGAAGTAAGGGCTTCTAAAAATGTTACCCAGGATGATCATAATGGCTTTGTCTGGCTTTAGAATCTATAAAACATGTATTTATTGCATTTGGTCATTTAAATTGTTAGTATTTTTGCAACTCCTGGAATCATAGATTATGAAGTCAAAGATAATGTTTTGATCATGCTGTCTAACACAGGCTTTAGGTCTCTCCTGAAATAATTTGAACATGAGTACCCTTTAGAAAAAAACCAAAGCAAATCCCTCTTGAAATAAGGGATAAGGGATCTTTCAGAAAAGGCTTTATTTTCTGAAAGATCAGTGTCTAGACTGGCATTTTTCTCCAGCAAAGCTCCGTGCCGAAAAAAAGCGGCAGACATTTTTAATCTAATGAAGCAGTGGAGATTTAAATCCCCACTTCATTAGCAATTGCGATACGTCTAATTTGCATCCCTTTTCTGAAAAAGGGATGTAGTCTAGACATAGCCCTATTGATTTAAAAACTTCCAAGATGAAGAATCCACAGAGTTCATCATACAGAAAACATTGCAAATACCACAAATACTATATATGTGGTAAAATACAATTCTTTTTAAAAAGGTGCCAATTCTAAAATGAATGTATATAGTCTTCTATTGGGTAGTAAGTAAATGTGAGTTTTAAACTAAAAACTAAATGACAACTTATTGCTGAAGCAAACAGAACAGAAAATAACTAATTGCTTTTTAAAAACCTTTCAAAATGTTAAGACTCAACATACACTGCAGTAGAGTTATACCCATCGCGACATGAGAGGGCAAGCAATGAATATTAGACTCTGTGGATAAAAGCCATTACTAGATACCGTTATATATAACTAGAAGCAAAAATTTGTGTTAGTACACCCAGGCGTGATTTTTCCCTCTGTGACAGAGCTCCTCTTCCTATGTAGGTGGGAAGAGGAATATATTTTTCAAAGTGCCTAGGGATTTTTTATTCTTCAATGATATGGTTCCCAGCCTCATAAAGAGGAAAAAAGTTTCAGCGTGAGAGGTGTCCAGACTTGAATGTTTCAAGAAGAAGATTCAAGTTGAGCATGAGGCAAGCCAAATCATTAGGCATATTTGAAAACATAGCCTAGGAACAAGCAGCACTGAATAATTGTAGGCTGTTATCACTATAAACAACAACAGCATCTTTTACCTCCAAAATAGTAGGTGCCACCTGAATAGATATGGGTAGGTACAGCAGCATGAGTGGATGAGGTTACATCATTGTCCACTGTTAGGCTCATACGACTTCTTTTGGCAGACAAAGAAACTGAATGCCACTGGCCATTATTTAATCCAACACCTAGGAGGAAAAACAAAAATAAGTTGAAACACCTACAGGTAATATTTATTAAAATAGTTAATCTGTATAGGTTTTTAATGGTAAGCATTCCGTAAACTATCCAGTTTCTTGGATATGCAAAGAAAGAAAAATGAAGAGGGAACATCAGTATGTCATTTGAAAACATAGCATATACTTCTATTACTTTTCCTTACTTTTGTAAGTTAAAATACTTTAAGTGGATATCAAGTGATGTTCCTAATAATCAGTAATATACCTCTTTAATGCTAGTGCCTAATGTTGTGTTCTGAGTAGGGTCTTGTTGAAAGAATCATTAAGATTATTTATATAATTTCAAATTAAGACTCTACAGACCCTGCAACTCATAGAACACAGCAAACAACTTCTCCAAACATAAGTAACTGAACTCTCTAGCAAAACCCCCAAACCTGCATTGAACTCCCATGACCCAGATGCTATACTTGATGCTCTAACAGAAAAATATGGCATGCATAATGCAATGGATTCTCCATAAAATACACTGCACTGATAAAAATGCTCTCTCAGCCTAATAATGTTACAGTTAAGACATTATCATCATGCTGTCTGGTACAGTACTTTACAGATAGCACACAACATATGTTATTACCATGGCATTATTTAATTTTTCAAAAATCAATTGTAGCCTTGAAACAATAATACTAAACCCCTGTAAATTCTAGGATAACTAATGCTACTGTCACATCAATGTTGCATCATTTATTTTTGTTTGGTTGTCCATTTTATAGGGACTTCAGGAATGATTTTGAGGTTGTTCACCATGAGTTTACCCTTGTAATACTAATCTATATTAATTAGGACTATACAGATGAATATAACAGTAAACTTTAGTGAGTATGCTGGGAAAATTTGCAAGCTCTTAGAACCATGCATTTATGCTAAAAATGGAGAAAGGAAAACAACAAAATGCAAAAAAAGGTTCAAATGGCCAAGTTACCAATAAGCCAGGATTTTTTAAAGTGTTATAAAACAAGCAGATAAGGCCATTTTAACTTGCACAGCAGCATACACTAAGCATATAAATCTCAGTCTCGTAGACCTTGGCAGAATGACAAGGGTTGTATATCCACATAGATAAACTTGTCTGAAGTAGTTCTTTAACATATTGTACACTAATGTTTTTCTTCGTTAGACTTACACATCCTTTGTCTATCCCTATTTGTTTTCCACTTCAACAAGCACATATGTAGCAAACTCTAAAAGACATTTATTCACTATTAAAATTAGAATTCTACTATACCCCTTCTTCAGACAAAAGCTCAGGAAAAATTGTGGCCTATAGATGGTTTTGTCCTGCCCTCATGCCTTATTGAAGAGAAATGCTTTCCAAAACCTAGTGCCAGGGAACAAGGAGGATTGTATACTTCCATTTTGCCAAAATGCTGCCAGTTAATCTTTATAGTTGTGATGCTCAATGGGAAGGGGATATCTGAAGATCTAAAGCGTGCTCCTTCTCTTACTTCCCAAGAAAAGGGAAAAAAAATAAACATAAGTGGTTGATTTGGTGACTCGAGCAGTAGTTAACAGCATGAAAATCTGTAACAGGGTGAAAAACAAGCCCCAACAAGGTGCATGTCTACACATTTCATTCTATGGTAACCCCTATTGGCATTTCTCCAGGATTTTCAGCCTTCCTGATTCAGGCCCACCCACTATTCCAAGTCCCAGTACTAAGACTCAATGAATAGCAGTCATGTGTCAGTACGTTCTGTTTAACTCTTCACTATGCTGCTACACTTCCCTGTAGTCCCAGTGTAACCAACACTGGGTAATTTGAACCTAGGATCTCTCGAACTTCCCTGTAGCCCAATAATCTGCAGCTGCCAAAGAAACCTCTTGGGGCCACTGGCAGCCAGGGTAAATTACTGGTGCCTTTAAGGGGCTGCCTGGATGTAGGGGTTGTCACAGAATGAAGGTAGTGCAAGTGTGCCTTTTAGTCATGTGGGTATTACTGGCATTTTGTCCTCTGGCAACTCCAACTAGATGTTTAAAAGCAGACTGGACAAAGAACTAGAAAAATATTACTTTTTTGTAGACAACTGTTCTATAATGTCATGGGACTGGAGTTATACTTAAGTATTTACACCTACCAGGTATTTCTTTCAGTGTCTTCCATGATAGTCTTAATACTAGTGAACAGAGAGAACTAATCACAAGTATCAAAGTGTTTTATAAACAAAAACACACAACCAGAAAAAACAGTTTTTAACATTAATCTTTTAAACTGCTCCAGCAAACAACTGAAAAATAATGTAAAGTGTTGCTATCACAGAAGAACTATATATGCCAAAGCGCAGGATTTGGATAACTCCAATGTAAAAGTCAAAGAAGGTAAAGTTAAATTTAAGTAAGAATGCTTCCCATTTCCCTGGAATGTAATTAGTTCCCTTACATTACCCATTGTACAGCTGGCCTTCAAGTGACAGAACAGATCATAAATGGCACATATTCTGCAACATTTGTGTCAGTCACACCACATATTTCCATAATGGAAAAACACAAATTTTGAAAACAAAATAATTTTTGCCTATAAGCCTTTTACCCATTCATCAAAGAGCTGCATATAGCCGTACAAGCTTCATATCACAAATGAAAAAAAAAAAATCAGAACAGACACAATCCTTAGAGGTAGCTCAACTCCTTTACTGTGTATAAGCCCCAACAACATGTTGAGTTTTCCTTTTGGGTCCCTTAATGTGTATAAGTCCCAACAACATGTTGAGTTTTCCTTTTGGAATTGCCTTATGCCATGCTTAGCTGGTTGTGTGTCCCAGGTCTTTTTTCTGACAAACAGATTTATAGTTTAACAAATTACATCAGTCTCTAATCCTTGGTGTTGCATGCCGCCTCAGTAACTTTCTTGTCTAATAAGATTTCCTTTTCAAAATATAATAAATGAAAATAACAAGTATTTGAACAATGTGCAAATTACTGAATTCTTTGTCACAAAGAGGCAGCCTGTATGAATGACTAAAGTAGAGGAACTAATTTGGTTAATGGAAAATGGGTAATAGAACTTTTTCAACATCATCTACTCATATTTGGCTTGTTTATTGTAATTTATTGGACATATAGCTCATCTCCACTTTGGATAAAATGCCATCTGTGGCCCACTTGGCCTACCCAGGAGTAAGGACCTCTACAAAGTCTGTTGGTTATGCCTGGATGCTACAGAATGCCAGTGGTGGAGGTAGCATGAACCAGTGCAGAGAAAGTTCTTCACTGCAGATATGGACCTAACTAGATTAATGAATTGAATATATTTATTTGTGGAGGATGATGCTGAATATCTGCAGAAATATATCTTTGATGTTTTGACAAGAAACATTTCACAAAATACAGCAAAATTTCTATACACAAAAATGAGGAGAAAAAATGATTATTTTAATCACACTATTATCGCAACAGTAAAGAGCAATGACCTTTTAAATTCCATATATCCATGTAAGTAGTTTGCTAGGCCACCAAAATGATAGTACTGTATCTAAGTATCAGGGGGGAGGGATAGTTTAGTGGTTTGAGCATTGGCCTGCTAAACCCAAGGTTGTGAGTTTAATCCTTGAAAAGATGATGTGGGGCAAAAATCTGTCAGGGATGGTACTTGGTCCTGTTACAAAGGCAGGGGACTGAACTCAATGACCTTTCAGGGTCCCTTCCAGTTCTAGGAGATAGGCAATCTTCATTCATATTTTTTTTATCTGCAGCTATACTTTGCACAAAATGTGATCTAGAGTTCTGTGAGTGGTGAACCAACGCAAAAGGTGCATACTGCTCTGCACAAATACATACACAAAGGACAATGTGCATCCTATATAATAAGCACTGAAAGACTTTGAGCAGGTCTAGAAGACAATGTGTAGAGTAAGCTGAAGTACAGCATCTGTATGTACTAGTTTTAAAATGTAATTAAAAATACATTTTTAAAAGGCAGTACATGTTAATAATCTGGGTAGTATTATATCAAATTTTCATCCATATTGTAACTCAATTTGGACCTCATCACTGAACACAAATTAACTTTGTTTCATTTCTTCCTTTTTTTCTTTAAACCATGTGGTATTACATTCTGAACATTTGATGACCAACTTGCAGAAGAGGGTACAAAGGGAAAAAAAAAAGATATTAAACAACCCATCTGTAACAGAAGGATTTAGCTTATTATAACTTAATCACTCATGAATTTAATATGCCTTTCTCCTTCTAATATGGCTCAAGAAATCTTTAAAAAACTCATGGTAATGAATTCTGAGAACTATGCTCAAACTAATATGCTCTGATTTAATTATTGAATTGTGTATGTGTGAAAGCCAGGTCATAAGTCTTTGCCTGTAGGGGAACAAACCTTTCCAACCATCCATAATTTAATTACTCAATCTCCAAATGCAGACTTGATTTGCTTCAGTGAATGTAGCAACAAACACACACTTCAAAAGCTCAAAAACAAGTTCACTGTGTGGTTTTGTTAGATAAACTTTCTGCTCTAGGAGAGAATAGAGTTGTGGGTTTGTTTAAGAAATGCATGAGATTTCTGTGTTGACACAGACAAATGTTATTCTATATCTCAGACCATATGGAGGGATTGTTGCATTCATCACATTATAAAGATAAATCACATCTGTATAGCATTTTTCAAGATTTATTTATTATGAGGATTTTCAATCCATTGGGAATACGTTATGTATTGTTATTGCCATTTTATAGTTTACTAATTTGTCATCCATGCATATCAGTAGTCTAGTTAGAAGTCATACTACCTTCCACAGGCCTGTTAAAGTGACATTGCATTGAAGCCATTTCATTAAAATATATCATATAATTGAGCTGCGATTGAAACAGCTCCTGAAGAAGTCTAATATATCACAGTAAACTACACATCATTGACACTCTAACTGTGGAATTAACATTTGCTGATGGTGAGCCTGGGGAAGCGTGATATTAATTAAAATGGTGCTCTTTGTACATCATTTATTTTAGCTTAAAATACACACAGGGACTGATCCTGCTCCCATTGAAATGAACAACTAACTCCCCATTTATGTTTAATAAGAGCAGGATTGGTGTGTTCAACGTTGAAATTTCCATGCTTATTAATATTACTTGCATGCAATCTTTTCTGAATTAAAATAATTAATTGATTAACATTTCCTATTTTCATCAGTATAGACATGTGGAGAGAGAATAAGCTTTATAGTTATATTTAACATTCCCTCCCATCTCCCTGCCAGGAATTAGTATTCTGTACCAGCTGGCATAGATAACACAAAAGAGGGATCACATCACAGATAGAGATTGTGGTTCTAGTGGACGGGGTACTGAGATAAGATTGAGACCTTGGTTTCATGATCATACTCAAATCTGATCCAATATGAGTCTTTGGGCAAATCTCGGTCTCACTGATTGCCCTTTCATTTGTTATCTTATCTATTTGAACAGAAAAGCCATCTGGGCAGGAACTATGAGTCCTATTGTGTCCACCCAGTATTTAACAACCTAAAGTGGGACCTCAAGGCACTATGGTAATACAAATAATTTTGTATAAAAAGAATCACCTGTTCTCTAGTGAGGACATTGCCAAATGCTAGCTTAAGAGTAAGGTAGGACAATAAGTTGTTTCCCTTGCCCAGATCGAATAAGATGCTTACATGTTATTATTAAGGGATTCACATAAGTACTTACACATCACATATACAGAGTTGGGGGATGATTCCACAATCCAAAGTCATGAAAGTACCGTAGTTTGATTCCTGGGAAATTTGTCAATAGTTTGAAATGTGCACATACATGTTACATTAGAAAAGGAGATCAAGGACTGCCTTGGAAATCTTTTGGGTAATACAGGAGCAAGGATTACTCACATGAACACGAGTTTCAGGACCGGGCTCTTGGAATAGGTAATTTACCTAAGTATAATTGCTCACGTAACAAATTTCTGCATAAAATCCATTTTCGGTTACCTGCAGTGATGTCACTTTGTATTTTCCCTGGTTTATAGAAGCTCATTTTAACTTTCCCATCGCTCAGATAAAGGAGGAGACCACCTGAATTCTGGTGTAGTTTACTGGACAACAAAAGTCCCTCCTTGTTCCAGGTGCGAAACTGAAAACTGACGTATACTTCATCTTGCCCAGATGTGTCAGGCAATGCTAGATAGCTACTGGCACTCAGAAAAGTAACAGGAACCATCTGTGTCTCTGAACAAGAAAAGGACATGTTGCCCTGGCAATAAATACAAAAAATGCAGCATTAGGAATTTTCTGAGGAACACAGTTCATTCTATATGTAGTTGCATGCAGATATATGTAGAGACCACATCATCTAGGGTTCATCATGACAGTGAATAAAGATTAATAAAGTTTCTATTTATTTTAGCTGTTTTAATCCAAAATTCAATTAACCTCATGTATAAAGAAAAATATCAGCCATCAAAACCAGCAATTCACTAAATTGTTCATCTGAACATAGAAACCCATAGAAGTCCCTTCTAGGCAACTGCAGAGTAGAGGCTTGTACCAAATAAAGTAAGAACGTGGCTTACACACATGACAGAATGACATCCCAGAGAGTACACAGAAGACTTCTCATTTTATTTTGGACCCAGCCTGTAGGACAGGGGTGGGCAATAATTTTGATGGGAGAGGCACTCCAAGAATTTGGTAAATGGCTAATGTCCACACTCTTCCATGATATTAATGGAGAAGGTGCAAGGTCTGGGATGGAGATTGGGTGCAGAAGGGAGCTCACAGTAGGAGAATAGGGTGCAGGAGGTAGTGTGGGATCTGGGAGGGAGTTTGGGTGAAGGAGGGGGCTGTGGACCTGGGCGACAGGATGGGGGTGCAGGAGAGGGTGCATGGTCTGGGAGGATATGGGTGCAGGAGAGGATTCTGCCCTGGAGAAGAAGACTATGGGTGGTTCAGGGTCTGGGAAGGGGTTGTGATCTGGGGTTGTGGTGTACTGGTATGGGTTGTGACCTCGGGTAGCTGTTTTGTGTGCAGAATAGGTATATAAATTCCCATTTAATTGGGTAACTGATTAAATGTAGTGTTTAACCAATTAACCGATTACAGGTAGGTGGGTGAGGGGCAGGAGCAGGGTACAAGTTAACTTTACCCAGTAAGCATCACCCATTAAGGGTGGTGATGGTCAGCTAACTGGTTACCCATCACATCTGTAGTGCAGGAACAGGGGAGGGGGGGTCGTGTTGCAACCTGGGGCAGGGGTGTATGAGGGGGAGCAGAGAATTGCAGGGAGGGAGGAGCTGGGGAGCAAGGTGAAGACTCTGGCTAGGAGGTGTTTACCTAGAAGGCTCTCAGCCAACAGCTCAGTAGATCCCTCAGGTAGGCTTACTGCCTTCTGCACTCCTCACATGCCACTCAAAGTGGCTGCAGGGGTTATGTGCTTCTTTGAGCACCATGAGACCTGGGGGCAAGAGGCTTTGTGTGCTGCCCACTTCCCCCAACACAATCTGACCAATGGGAGCTGTGAGATGGTGCTGGGGGAAGAATATGAAGCTCCCCACCTCTCCTGCTCTGGGGGCTCATGATGCTCAGAGAAGCACATGGCCACTGCAGTCAGCCACTTTGAGCAGCCTGGGGGAGCATGAAGGCAAGAAGCCTGCCTGTGGGTTCCACTGGTCTTTGAGCTGGATCCATTGGTTTAGTAGGCTGGATTTTCAAGAGCTTAGTAGGGCTTCTAGATGCCAGATAACATTCCAATGGTTGCAAAAGCCTGCTACAAGGTGCAAAGGGGATTAAATGCTTTTAGGGAGGAAGGACTGTTTGCGGGGGGTGGGGGGAAAGAGGGAGAGGTGCTGGTAAGTGATAGATAGCATTCCATTTTTAGTTCTTGCAAAAGTTTATTGGACTAAAACCAATCTTTTCAATTCAACCTGATTTAGATTCTACACTGAACACACTCAGGGTATGTCTACACTACCCTCCTAGTTCGAACTAGGAGGGTAATGTAGGCATACCGCACTTGCAAATGAAGCCCGGGATTTGAATTTCCCGGGCTTCAT